AAGCCAAATGTGTGAGGCTGAAGAGGAAGACTGAGACTGGAGACAGGAGGACAACACCTTTGGATGGTCATCAGAGAAGTAGTATAACCCTTCCTTTTCCTTAGCAATTCCAATCGTCTTCCCCGTGGTAAGGTCCTGAAAAATACAATGGGACATAAAAAACGTTACTTTACAATTTAGATCACGGGTAAGCTTATGGATGGAAATCAAATTGTGGGAAAGTGTGGGAACATGAAGCACGGATTGCAATTGAAATGGAGGTTGCAAGTCAATATTTCCAGTGCCAACAACACAAGCCTGAGAGCCATCAGCAACAGTGATATAAGGAATACTCGAAGGTGTGGTATAAGAGCATAATAATGTGGAATCAAATGTCATATGATTAGTAGCACCAGAGTCAAGAATCCACGCATTCTTAGGGATATTACCACAAACAGTAAAAGATCGGGAACACAAACTCTTACCGGTAACTGCTAGAGACCCAGAACCAGAAGGCTTACTCATGGAGTCAAGCATAGACTTCAACCGTTCCACGTCATTCTGGCTGAAGGAGGAAAGATCAGTTCCCTCTTTTTCAAATCTGTCAGTATCATGGGCATGTGTGACAACATGTGCCTGATGCTGGTGCATGTTGCGAGAACTACCTCCTCGGCTAAGAACCTGTTCCCTTCCATGTAGTTTGAAACACCTATCCTTTGTATGCCCTGATCGGTTGCAATGCTCACAATAGAATTTGTCACGACCATTCTTAGATGATGACGATGGTGGTCCTTGTCTTGTTGTTTTTCTAGCTACTAGTGCTGACACATCCGGGGGCTGTGCATGAAGCATAGTTTGACGACGGGTCTCCTCACTACGAACAGTGTAAAAAACTTCATTAAGATCAGGAAATTTTTCCTTACCCAAAATCTGCACCCGAATGGGGTCAAATTCAGCATTAAGGCCGACTAAGAAATCAAAGATCCTATCCCGCTCAACAACAGTATTCAAGGTGGCAGTATCCTTGCTGCACTCCATCTTCAAATTCTGATATTGATCCAACTCAATCCAAAAACCATTGAGAACTCCAAAGTAATCGTTGACCGAAAGACTTCCCTGCTTAGTGTTGAATATTTTCCTCTTTAAATCATAACAAGCAGACATATCTTGTTTCATGGAATAACTTCGACGTAGATAATCCCAAACTTCCTTTGCACTTGAGAGATACATGCAATTTCTACTAATTTCTGGAGATATGGAGTTCCAAAGCCAAGTAATAATAGCAGAATCATCTTTATCCCAGGAAGAGAAATTAGGAGCAGTAACCAGAGGAGGATTGCCTTCAATATGATCTAGCATGTCACAACATTTTAGAGTGTGTCTGATGAACTGAGACCATTGAAAATAATTTTTTCCGGTAAGCCAGTAACCTTTTTGAACGACAAAATCCTTAGCATTAAATGGGACTGGTGGATTTGTGGGAGGTGGAGGCGGTGGATTTGTGGGAGGTGGAGGCGGAGGCGGAGGTGGTTGTTGGTTAATAATCTCGGCCATTGAAGGGACAATCGAGAGGAACAAACAGCAGATATGTATTGAATCACAAAGAATACAAAGAAACCAAAAAACAAGCAGTAGGGTTGCAATAGAACTGCAATAGAATGAAAAAACAGCAATGATCCAAACACCCAAAAAAACTGCAAGGATGACCGGCAGTGAAACAAAAAAACACCGTTACAACGGCGGCTAGGGTTTATGCGGAAGCGAGACCCCCAAAAAACAGGAGCTCTGATACCATATTGTAAAATATTTCACTGATAGAATTAAAAGTTCTATTTACAATGTTGCAACTACATGCTTTAAATAAGAGAGAATAGAAACCCTAATGGGTTTTGACTAATGGGCCTCATTACTAATACTACTAATTACTATTTACAGTCTAATATTTACAACAGTATCTTACATCAACAAGGCCGACATCTTATTCTAAATAAGTTTGTTGTCAAGTTTCATGCATTGTGCTAGTGAAATACACTTGAAAACAACAAAAAGATTTGTAAGATACATTAAAGAAACTGTCCATTATAGAGTCATGTACAACAAAGTTAAAGACTTCAAATTATCTAACTACTCAAACAGTGATTGGGCAGGTAGCTTGGACCATATAAATAGTATTTCAAGGTACTGTTTCAACATAAGTATTTTCTCTTGGTGTTCAAAGAAGCAAGAAGTTGTATTGCAATCAACAATATAAAACAAACTATTTGGTTAAGGAATATTTTAGTAGATTTGAGTCTGAAGCAAGAGAAAAGTATACATATTTTTGTTGATAATCAAGCATCTATTTCAATCTCATTAAATTCAATATTTCATTAGAAGACCGATCACTTTAATTTCAAGTAATTTTATTTAAGAGAAGTGTAAGAAAATGACGACGTAAGTTTGATTTATTGTAAAATAAAAGATCAAATTATTGATATATTTACCAAAGTCGTTTCCACTTAGCATGTTTAAATTTTTAAAGAAAAAGCTTGGAGTTTACATCCTAAAAAATATGCTAAGTGGACAAATGCTGCATTTAAATTACTTTTTGTTCATAATATCATAAAGAACCTATGGCCTCTACGCATATATATGGTGATTTACAACCTGTCAATAATCCTTCAAATCTATTTGTCAACTCTCTTATTTGTGATTAAGTTTCTTACACTAACATTGTGGGATCATATATGTATAACGTTTGGCACAATATACTAGGATATCCACATCATGAAGCTTTTAAGACTACTTATTTATTTATGCAACATTTATGTTCCTCATAAGTTTAATTTTGAATTATGCAGTCTTTCATAAACTTCATGTAGATCTGTGTGTTGGGCATGGATAACCGTTATGGGGTTTTGATGATGACAAGCAGTTTAAAAGGGGAGTTAATTGCAATTATTAAGTGATTCCTAATGATGGTATCCAAATAATAAACCACAAGCCTCGTCAGTCAAAAGTGTCAAGTTTAAGTTGAAAATGTAAGATATTGTTGAATAAAGCAATGGACTTGAAGTATTGAATATATGATCTTTAAGCTTAAAACTTGAATCTATGTGCTTATGGATTTTTCTAGTCTTGATAAATTTATTGTAAAAGTAACAAGAGTAAGTCTTGAGGTACTAAGACAACACACATATAAAATGATTTTTAAACCTCTTTTATTTTTGATAAATATTTTAAAACCATTTGTAGCACATGTTTAATTCATTACGCTCTTGATTAATCAATTAGGAAGGTGTTTTACGTTGTTTAATCACTTAAGGCTTCCTCTAATTGATTAAACCTATTTTTAACGTCTCTTAATCTATTAAATAAGTTGTTAACTGATTAGGTGAAGTCGAAACTTAAACTTTTTAAATTTGGGTTGGTTAATTGATTATCGCCTAGGGTTAATCGACTAAATCATTAAAAAGACACATGGATCATTTTTTAGTCATATTTTCTACTATATAAAAGAGGTATCTCCTCATTTCATAATACACCAGATTTTCTAAATAGAAACATTTCTACTATTCTTTATACCATTTTTCATTCTAAAAACTTTTTTTTTCACTTGAGTTACCTTAATGCCATAAGAGTGAAAAATTCCTTCTGAGAGTTATGTTATAATGGTGTTGTGCTAAAATTTATTTTATTTAAGAGTGTGACTCTCTTGCAAAATATTTGATGGTTGCAAGCTAAATTTGGAAAAAGTTTGAGTGAAGGTTCTTGAATTAATCTCGTGTAAAAGTTTTGGTTGTTGTTAGAAGGTTTGTGGATTGATTATGTGCAAAAGTTCAAGTTGTAGTTAAATGTTGTTTGGGTTGATCATGTAAAAGCCCAACACTAATTTAATGGAAATCTCAAAAGAGAACCCTTGGGGATAAGAATATGCCCAATAGTTTAGACTCTACCAAGATAAATCTTTGATGCAATCTTTCTATTTCTTATCTCCTTTACTTTCATACTTTTTTTTTTCCAATATGTTTGTCTTTTATTTTCATTTTTCTATTGCTACTCCTTTGTTTGTTTGTTTATACCAACATTTTCAAAGTAAAGATTTTATAAATTATTATTGAATTTCAAATATCATAATTCAACCCCTTGTATTTGGAGTCCATTGGACAACACTTCTTACTTTCATATCTCATTTAGTGTATCATGCTCATTTTGACTTGTTATTTGCTAATGTATGGGACCAAATTCTAATCCTTTCTATTTCATGATATCAATCACCTATTTCCACAACACCTTCAAACTCACAAAACCTCGCATCACCATTAGCCTATACATTAACTACTAAACCCACATTGACCTCTGAACTAATACAATTGTAAGAAATTATAACTAAAGAAAGCCTAAAGTGACCCAAGCAAATAAATAAAATAAAGACACATGAAAATAAATTTCACAAATAATTTCTTAAAATTAATAATTTCAAAAATATTAGTACTTAACAAATATTTAAACCCCTTAAAAGATCTCTTAAAAAGAATAATATATCTTGAATTTACAACTTTATTAAACTATTCTCCTAGAGATTTTTACTTAAATAAAAATAGTGAATGTTTTCTTATAATACCAAAAAATAAAAAATAGTGAATGCTAAATTAGAGAGACACTCACTATTTTTTCTTTTCTTTTTTCATTATCAGTGGAAAAAAAATTGAAGAAAAACATGGACCTCTCATTCAAGATATTTTTGTCATGTATTTACAAAATAACCCCTCATTTGATTTGACCGCTTCCTGACTCAAAGGGCAATTTTGGTATAAAGTCAAATTCCTAAAATTGAAACATTTATTATCCATTTTTTTTTTTCATTTAATTATTACAACGATTAACTATATAAACCAATAATTTTCTACATTGTACATAACTTGAACTAACTTGTTTCTGGTTTTTGATTTTATTACTTTGTTGTTTTGTTTCTGGTTTTTGGTTTTTGATTCATCACATCACATGGTTTTGTTCTGAATTCTTTTGACTAAATTTGTTGCATGGCAAGTGTTCTAGGTAATGCTTCAACCATTGTTACTTCTTGTGCATTCAGGAATGAGCCACAACTTTGTAGCAAATTCACTGCAAGCACTTGCTCCACTACTCTGTGGCTTTCTTGCATTGGCCTCCATGGAAACAAGGGTAGAAAACATTTTCAGATCAGATCCTCAAATGGGCATCCTCTGAATGCTATTTCTTCTCATGATGGTGTGTATGTATTGTCTTCTAGTTACATTATTATGTTTCTTTAAATGATTACTTTTTATGTTGGAGTAGAAATTGTGAAGCTTAACTTTATCTGGATTAATATAGTTATGCGCATACCTTGTTACATGATCTAGCAATTGATCCTCCCCTCTGCCATGGCCCTTGATTTACTCTTTCCAAAGCACTGGCTTTGTCGTAGGGTTGATCTTAGCTTTTATCAGTATATGCCCTTAACAACCAACTTGTTTGTGACTACGGTTTTAAATTGGAGTTGCGGTTTTATGCTGTGACTAGTGAGTCATGTGATTTTAGGTCCGATCTCAAATTCATGCATATGAAAAGAGTACTATTGATAGAGATTCTAAATTTGGATATATGGCCTGTTTAGAAAAGACATCATGCTTCTTAGTTCTGGCTGTTAATTAGGAAATAATCTTTGCAGTTATTGTGAATAATTTACATTCATAGAATAGGAAATTAGTCATTATGAATTGTAATTAGTTATTATCAGCTATAATTAGTTATTATGAGTTGTAATTACCGACACTATTATATATAGTATGAAAGGCAATGAGAAAGGCATCAAGCCAAATTTCGTGACATGGTATCAGTAGGTTCGATCAAACCTGGAAAATATTATTATATTGGCTGATCAGCGATACCCCACTGGTTCGCTCTCGTAATCGTGTTCGTTTCGAAATTCTTTCGTTTGAAATCGAAACCTTGCAGTTGTCTGAGATTCTAAATCTTTGGTTGCCGGTTCGTGATTTCGTCTTGGAGATTCTCGTTGTTGCGCTGATATTGCAATCAATTTTTTTGGTTCTTGGCTGTTGTTGCTTCGTGATTCTGGATCGTCATAATCTTCTGTTTTGCCGCTCCTTCCAAATCGTGGATTTGATCGTGCTGTTGTTCGTTGGTTCGTGAGTATTGTTTCTTGTTGCTGCTCTAGTAACTGTGATTACAGTTACTGTTATTATATTATAGTTATTATTATTATTATTATAATTATTATTATAATAATAATAAAATAATATTAGTGAGATTGTATCTGGTGGTTTAATAATTTAGATGGCTTCCGAAAAAGAAAGAGATAATTTTTGTGTTCGTTTTACCGGCAAGAATTATTCGGCATGGGAATTTCAGTTCAAGATGTATGTTAAAGGAAATGGATTATGGAGTCACTTAGATGATGTTTCTAAGGCACCAACAGAGAAAACTGCTTTAGATGCGTGGGAAACTAAAGATGCTCAAATTATCACTTGGATTCTAAACAGTATTGATCCTCAGATGATAAATAATTTGCGTTCTTTTTCAACTGCTCAAGAAATGTGGAATTATCTGAAGCGCATTTACAACCAGGACAATTCGGCAAAACGTTTTCAGTTGGAGTTAGACATCGCCAACTACAAACAAGGTGATTTGTCTATTCAAGAATACTATTCTGGTTTTTTAAATCTTTGGGCAGAACACTCTGCTATTATACATGCTAATGTTCCCAAGACCTCTCTTGCGGCTGTTCAAGAGGTCTACAACACAAGTAGGCGAGATCAATTCCTTATGAAGCTTCGTCTAGAATTTGAGGTTGTCAGAGGTGCTTTGCTAAATAGGAATCCTGTTCCTTCTTTGGATACATGTGTTGGTGAACTTCTCAGGGAGGAACAACGTCTCCTTACTCAAGGAACCATGTCTCATGATACTGTCAGTTCTGAGCCTGTGGCAATTGCATATGCTGCTCAAAGTAGAAATAAAGGTCGTGATATGCAACATGTCCAATGTTTTTCTTGCAAACAGTTTGGACATATTGCTCGTAGCTGCAGTAAGAAGTTTTGTAATTATTGCAAACAACAAGGTCATATCATTTCTGACTGTCCCACGCGTCCTCCACGACCAGCACATCATTCGGTGAAGGCATTTCATGCCACTACAGGCCATACAATTGGCTCTTCCACCACTGGTGCATCAGATGGCAATGCTCTACAACCTGAAATGATTCAACACATGGTACTTTCTGCCCTTTCAGCCTTGGGTATTAAGGGTAAGTCTTCTCATGTTTCTCGTCCATGGTTTATTGATTCTGGTGCATCCAATCACATGACAGGTTCATCTGAAAACTTGCACAATTTACATTCTTATCATGGTAATCAGAAAATTCAGATTGCTAATGGTAATACCTTGTCTATCACTAACGTTGGGGACATAAACTCGGATTTTCAGAATGTGCTTGTCTCACCTGGACTTGCTTCTAATTTATTGTCTGTTGGTCAATTGGTGGACAATAATTGTAATGTTAATTTTTCTCGATCTGGTTGTCTTGTGCAGGAGCAGGTGTCGGGGAAAATGATCGCGAAGGGGCCTAAAGTGGGAAGATTGTTTCCAATACAGTTTATTTCTAATCATTTGTCTCTTGCTTGTCATAATGTTTTGAATTCCTATGAGGATTGGCATAGAAAACTAGGTCATCCAAACTCTTCTGTTTTGTCTCATTTATGTAAAAGTGGCTTGTTGGGAAATAAAAATGTTATTCCTGATGCCTCTGTTTCATGTTCTGTTTGCAAATTGGCTAAAAGTAAGACACTTCCTTTTCCGTCTGGTGCTAATCGTGCTTCCACTTGTTTTGAGATGATTCATAGTGATGTATGGGGAATGTCTCCTGTGGTTTCTCATGCTCACTATAAATATTTTGTCACATTTATTGATGATTATAGTCGTTTTACTTGGATATATTTTCTCCGTTCTAAATCCGAAGTGTTTTCTATGTTTAAGAAATATTTGACATATGTTGAAACTCAATTTCAAGCAAGTGTTAAAATATTTCGATCTGACTCTGGTGGTGAGTACATGTCTCATGAGTTTCAGGAATACCTTCAACAAAAAGGCATCTTGTCTCAACGGTCTTGTCCCAATACCCCTCAACAAAATGGCACGGCAGAACGTAAGAATCGTCATTTGCTTGATGTAACACGCACCTTACTTCTCCAAGCTTCTGTACCATCCCGATTTTGGGTGGAGGCTCTTTCCACGGCTGTCTTCTTGATCAATCGTATTCCTTCTACAGTTATTGATCTTGATTCTCCTTTCTTCCGTCTATTTAAAATTCATCCTGATTATAGTGCTTTACATACTTTTGGGTGTGTGTGTTTTGTTCACTTACCTCCTTTTGAAAGGCATAAGCTTGGAGCACAATCCGTTCAATGTGCATTTATGGGATATAGTAACTCTCATAAGGGATTTGTGTGTTATGATGTCTCTAACCATCGTTTTCGCATTTCTAGAAATGTGACATTTTTTGATAATCAGTTTATGTTTCCCTGTGGTTCTCCTGCCATTAATGATATTGTTACTCTTCCTAAGTTTTCTATTATGCCTCAAGCTATAGAACGTTATAAACCAGGTCATGTATATGTCAGAAAACACAGACAACAGGTTCCCACACCCCTTCCCGATGCTGAACTGCCACCTGATCCTGTACCGGTTGAACCACGACGTTCTGGTCGAATATCCCGCGCACCAGATAGATATTCACCAGACAGGTATGATTCCTCACATACTTCTCTGAATGCCACACTCTCTAGCATATCTATTCCTACTTGTTACTCACAGGCTGTTAAAGATGTGCGATGGATAAAAGCAATGACTGAAGAGCTCCAAGCTCTTCAAGAGAATTTCACATGGGATATCGTCACTTGTCCTCCAAATGTAAAACCTATAGGTTGCAAATGGGTGTATTCTGTGAAACTGAATTCTGATGGGTCCCTCAACCGTTACAAGACTCGTTTGGTTGCGTTAGGAAACAAGCAGGAATATGGAATTGATTATGATGAGACATTTGCACCGGTTGCCAAAATGACAACTGTCCGCACAATCATGTTTATAGCTGCTTCTAATGGGTGGACTCTTCATCAAATGGATGTGAAGAATGCTTTTCTTCATGGTGACCTGACAGAAAATATTTATATGACTCCACCTCAAGGCTTATTCTCTTCATCTAAAGGCGTGTGTAAGCTCAAACGCTCCTTATATGGTTTGAAACAGGCACCTCGAGCATGGTACGAGAAATTCCGCGCCACTATACTTGGATTCTCCTTTACTCAGAGTCAGTATGATTCATCTTTATTTATTCATAGCACATCTGCGGGTATTGTTCTGCTTCTTTTGTATGTTGATGATATGGTTATTACTGGTTCGGATCATGCTTCCATTCAGCGACTTAAGCAACAGCTACAGGCCTCATTTCATATGAAAGATCTGGGTAATCTACATTATTTTCTTGGTCTTGAGGTTCATTCTACATCCAAGGGCATCTTTCTCCATCAACACAAATATGCTACAGATTTGATTTCTATGGCCGGTCTTGAATCGGCTAATCCAGTAGATACTCCTCTTGAGGTTAATGTTAAATATCATCGTGATGATGGGGATCTGTTGCCTGATCCCTTATTGTATCGACAACTTGTGGGTAGCCTCAACTACTTGACTATTACTCGCCCTGACATATCTTTTGCAGTTCAACAAGTAAGTCAATTCATGCATTCTCCTCGCCATCTTCACTTGGTTGCAGTTCGTCGTATAATTCGCTACTTAAAAGGAACCTCTCACCGCGGATTATTCTTTTCCGTTGGAACTTCTCTTCAGTTGAGCGCTTATAGTGATGCTGATTGGGCAGGGTGTCCTGATACTCGTCGATCTGTTACTGGTTGGTGTATGTTTCTTGGTTCTTCATTGATCTCTTGGAAAAGTAAGAAGCAAGCAAGAGTTTCTAAATCTTCTACTGAATCAGAGTATCGTGCCATGTCTGCTGCGTGTTCAGAAATACTTTGGCTTCGTGGTCTTTTGGCTGAACTTGGATTTCCCCAAACAGAGTCAACTTCACTTTATGCTGACAATACAAGTGCCATCCAAATTGTTGCAAATCCTGTTTTTCATGAACGCACCAAACATATCGAAGTTGATTGTCATTCAATACGTGACGCCTACGATGATCGAATAATATCACTTCCTCACGTCAGTACGCAGTTGCAGGTTGCAGATATTCTTACCAAGGCTGTTCCACGCCCAAGACATCAGTTTCTTGTTAGCAAATTGATGCTCCTTGACCAGCCGCATCAATTTGAGGGGGGATGTTAATTAGGAAATAATCTTTGCAGTTATTGTGAATAATTTACATTCATAGAATAGGAAATTAGTCATTATGAATTGTAATTAGTTATTATCAGCTATAATTAGTTATTATGAGTTGTAATTACCGACACTATTATATATAGTATGAAAGGCAATGAGAAAGGCATCAAGCCAAATTTCGTGACACTGGCATTGGCTGGCTTAAGTGCACAAATATGGTGCCAAGAGTCAATTGTTAGGATATAGAATAAAGGGAAACTAGAGTAGTTAGAGCAATTAGTTAGTTGGTTTGTTTGTTAAGTGTGCTATTTCTGGATAATTGAGTTTTATGACTGGTTAATCCAGTGTGAAAGGAGAGTACTACTTTGAAAATCTTCTATATCTAATACATGGTTTTCCTGATTGTGCCACTTTAAATGGTAGACCGTCTTCACCTTGTCTTTATACTTGTTTTGTCATTGGATCATGTCATTATGTGTTCTTCAGCTCCTTAAACCTCTTGTTCTCTGTCCTCCCATCCTATAGCTTGTTAACTTATTTACTTGTATGCAGGTTTAATTGGAAGTTCATTGGCCAAAGAAGATGGCCAGCCTCAACAAGTTGAAGAGTCATTTTCCTTTTCAGACTCTGAAACTACAGGATCAAACCTTAGTATAACTGTTGTTGGAGCTTCTGGAGACCTTGCCAAAAAGAAGATTTTTCCAGCACTCTTTGCTCTTTTTTATGAAGATTGCCTACCTGAGGTCTGAATTTTCATGGTATTCAGATGCGTTCAGCATCTTGAACTTTAGCTAAATGAGTTGTTGTAGACGATTTAAATGTTTGAGGATCTATATTTGCAATCTTTATGCAGAATTTTATTGTGTTTGGATATGCTCGGACTAAAATGACCGACGAAGAGTTAAGGAACATGATTAGCCAGACTTTAACATGCAGAATTGACAAGAGGTAAGTGTTACAGTAGCAATTCTATTTGGTATGAAAGTATTTGTACACAAATGCTAAAAATATCTTAGAACTGTTCATGGTTGTAGAGGGCAAAATGTTCCAGGTTTGAAAAATACGAGTAGTGTTATTTTGCCAATTTTGAAAATTTGTAATATTCATTAACCGTCTACTGTACCTGATTAACCACATATTTGAACTCCGTTGGCCATCCAAATTGATGTTGAAGTTTAATATTAAACTTGTGTCAAATCAAATTATCATTTCTCGAAAAATAAATATGTAATTGGTAAATATTTAACAAATTTTTTCATGTTTTCTTAAGTCATTACTAAGACTCATCGGTATCAGTTCAAATTTTTCATGTTCTTGTGGCAGCATTATTGTAAATCCTTCTTTCTTACTTTTCCCCTATAGTGATGAGTTGTTTTGAATTGTAGGGCAAATTGTGCAGATAAAATGGATCAATTCTTGAAAAGATGCTTTTACCATTCTGGTCTGTACAATTCTGAGGACCACTTTCTAGATTTGGATGCCAAGCTGAAAGAGAAAGAGGTAATGCTTGAGGGAAAAAAGAAACCATATCTGATTTTTATGCCATTTGATTCACATATTTGACATAAATGTTAAAAAAAACTGAGATAACACTAGACAGTAATTGCTTTCTCAAAGTAGTCCCTGGATTTAATATTCTTTCAAAAACTGCTGGACTATGTAGATCTTTAAGAATAAGGTGAAAAAGGATCTAGAGGATATGTGAATATGTAAATCAAAACTGGCTGTCACAAAAGGGTTCTATTATCGAACAGCATTTCTTTTATGGCAGGTGTATGCCTGAGCATTGATCTTGATACATATATTGTTTTTGTTGGATATGGCTCTTAGTGTACTGATTAGTAGATAAATCGCTCAAACGGGGTGAGTATTGTTCATAGGTAATCTTGTAAAGTGAACCGTAGTATTTAAACACAAGTTGTACTCTGTAAATCCTAAACTTGATTAATAAAAAGGGTACTGCAACTGCTCTGCAATCAGAGATGTAGGCACAATTGGCCGAACTACATGATCAAATATTATGTATTGTCTCTGTATTTTTCATATCATTTACTTTTGAACCAAGGTTGTTGTTCTAACCGTTTCAATTAACAATGGCTTCTTTTAGGGTGGAAGAGCTTCAAACAGGTTGTTTTATTTGTCAATACCTCCAAACATATTTGTGGATGTGGTGAGATGTGCTAGCCTCAAAGCCTCTTCAAAAAGTGGCTGGACAAGGGTTATTGTTGAAAAGCCATTTGGCCGTGATTCAGAATCATCTGGCGAACTAACAAGAAGTTTGAAGCAGTACCTCACTGAAGACCAAATATTCAGGTCCATCTTTTTTCCTTTTTGTTTTCTTCATAACAAGCTAAAGAAGAAAGTCTGGAAATACTGAAATTTGTTTACTATCTAGGATTGACCATTACTTAGGTAAGGAGCTTGTGGAGAATCTCTCTGTACTTCGTTTTTCAAATCTTGTTTTTGAGCCTCTATGGTCCCGGGATTACATTCGCAATGTACAGGTGATATTTTCTGAAGATTTTGGAACAGAAGGAAGAGGGGGGTGAGTTATATTCTGATAGATGTTTCTTAATGGTATTACAGAGAAATGGTAACTCACAAACTAATCAAACTTCAACCTTGCTTTTGTTTTAGTTATTTTGATAACTATGGGATCATTCGTGATATAATGCAAAATCACCTTGTGCAAATACTAGCACTGTTTGCAATGGAACCACCTGTCAGCTTGGATGCTGAGGACATCAGAAATGAAAAGGTATATCTCTTTCAGTTTTGAACATGATGGGGTATGTTTGAGATCTAATATCAGCTATGACATAAATACTTGTGAGAATGTTTGAGAGAGTTTATGGAATAATTTATGACATGTCCACAAGTTGTTTTCAGCTTATTTCTATAAGCTCTACATGATTGTTTATAAAAACAGCTTATGACATATATGAAAACAATTTGACTATATTTCATAGTTTGTTAGAGACAACTTATACAAAAACACTTTCATGAAAAACAAGATTTAGACCCGTGAGGTGCGTGGTATGCTGCTATATTTTTTATATTAAGTGTTTCATAAATAGTGTCGGCATCTAATTTGGAAGGCTGTTTTAACATAATTTTAATAGATTTTTATGTTATCAATGCTTAATTAAGTTGTTTATCCATACAGAGCCTTAATGCTTATAAGCTCTGAGCAATCCTTAACCCTAGAGCTACCTTGGTTGAGTTAGGTCTAGCAAAAATTCCAGAATATAGTATACTTTATCAATCATACTTTGTTTTCAACCCGTTCTCCTAAATATGCTATAATCTTAAGGAAAGGTTTCAACCAACATCATTGTTCTGTGATTTCTGAGAATTGTCTTAATTCAGGTGAAGGTTCTGAGATCGATGAAACCAATACTGCTTGAAGATGTTGTAGTTGGTCAATATAAGGGCCACAGCAAGGGTGGTAGATCACATCCGGCTTATATAGATGACCCGACTGTTCCAAAGGGTAGTCTTACTCCAACATTTGCTGCAGCTGCTCTTTTTATTGGTAATGCCAGATGGGATGGAGTTCCTTTTCTCATGAAAGCTGGCAAAGCTCTTCATACTAAACGGTATGAAATATTTCGTCTTTAATTAGAAAAACTGTGATTTTTAGCTTTGCATTCTTTGGAATCATGAATTACAAACAAACTCCATACAAAAAATGAATCAGTGCAGAAATCAGAGTACAATTCAGACACGTCCCGGGTAACTTGTACAAGCGGAACTTTGGAACTGACCTGGACAAAGCTACAAATGAGCTTGTGCTTCGTGTACAACCTGATGAAGCTATATATTTGAAGATCAACAACAAAGTTCCTGGTCTCGGAATGAGATTAGACAGAAGTGATCTGAATTTGCTTTACAGTTCAAGGTATTAAGATCTTCTAGATATGTTCTCCATGGAGTTGGTTGAATTCAATTTAATAGTAATTTTTTTGAATCAAACTTTATTATAAATTAATCCAATTTTAAATGTGAAAGTTAACATGGTAGTCTAGTTAATTCAGTAGAAGCAATACACAAAATAACAGGTTTTGATGATGGTGTTAATTTATGGCTTTCAATTAATTTGTGTGAAGGTATCCAAGAGAAATACCAGATGCATATGAAAGGTTACTTTTAGATGCTATTGAAGGCGAACGAAGGCTGTTCATCAGAAGCGATGAACTTGACGCAGCTTGGGCACTATTCACTCCTTTGCTAAAAGAAATTGAAAACAAGAAGATTGCTCCAGAGCTCTATCCTTATGGTAGCAGAGGACCAGTTGGAGCACATTACCTAGCAGCAAGGCACAATGTAAGATGGGGAGATCTTGGTGGCAATGACTGATAAATGGCAGAGCCTGTTGGAAGAAGAAAATTTCATGTGGAATAATAGCAGACCTTATCATGTGAACTAAATCTTGTGCTTGCTGGAGTGTGTCTTGTTGTTTTAGAATTACAACTATGTTCTGTTAACTATATATAAATGGATACCAAATCTTGTTATGGTTAACTTTCTCATAATTTTATCTGTAAATTCAAACTTTCATCACATTTTTATCATTTTTACCCAATCTAATAAATATTATCACTATTATTTATTGAGAAAAACAGACACACCAATGTGTATGTTAAAGTAAAGGAAATTAATAGTGGAGCCAAATGGAGCAGCAATTATACTTTTCAATCTCAAAATATCCATCTTGTGATTGATTTAAAGGTACATTCTGTACAGTGTCTTAAAAAATGATGAAGCATGTTATTGACAGCTTCAAAAACCATACTAAACAGACAAGTAAAAAGCAAACTAATAAGTTCAAATGCTTGTATCATTTTCATGACTACTTATGACTATTTTTTCTTTGTCAAAACCTTGTGGCAATAAACGCTTAGCTTCCATCTCACTACACAGCATCAATGCAAACTGTTTTCTCCCACACCTGCAAAGTCCAGTACAAACCTCAGACAAAATACTAGAATCAGGAGTCATGAATCTATCCATCATGTCCTTCAAAACTTGCACAGCTCCATCAAAATCTTCATTCTTACAAAAAGCCGACACCAACATCCGAAAAGTATTCTCATCTGGACTAAAACCACTCCTCACCATGCTTCTATAAACCAGAAAAGCACGTTCAGAATTCTTCCTAACACACTGTCCAGCAATAAGAGCAGAAAAAGTAGAAGCATTTGGCACCAAATTCTCCTTATCAAGCTCCTTAACCATATAAGCAGCTTTCTTAGTCTTCCCTTCTTTACAAAGCCCCAAAATCAAACCATTATAAGTCAAAATATCAGCTTTCACCTTACTCTTCTCCATCTCCTCAAAAAGCATAACCCCCATTTCACTATTACCAACTTGACCAAACCCATTAATCAAAGTATTATAAGTCACAACATTAGGTGCCACATTAGCCAACTTCATCTCACTAAAAACCCTATTTGCTTCATGCATTTTCCCCTCTTTACAAAACCCACTAATAAGAGTGTTAAAAGTAACCACATTTGGAAACACCCCATTATTCCCCATCATCAAAGTTTTAACCTTTAAAGCCAAGCCAAGTAAACCCTTATTACAATAACCAGAAATCAATGCATTGAAAGTAACAACATTAGGACTCAAACCCATATCCTTCATCTTCTCCAAAATCTCAGAAGCTTTATTCAATTCCCCTAATTTACAACAAGCAGAAACAACCATATTCAGAGTGTAAACATTAGGTGAAATATAATTTTTCCTCATTTGATGATAAAACGATAAAACCAATTCCGGTCTTTTAAGATAAAGCATTGAACTTAGAAAAGCATTGCATGATTCAATAGTTGGAAACAATCCATATTCCTTCATTCTAACGAAAGTATCAGTTGCCTTTCTTAGCTTGTTCATATGAGCAAATGTCTTGAAAAGGGTATCAAAAACAAGGGGTGAAGAATTGCAGAGACGATAGGAATGAAGCAATGATTCAAAGAGATTAGAATCGGTGATGATTCTACTGAGAATTGATTGGGCTGTTATAAAGTTTCGATTTTTGGTGAGAATGTGAAGGAGGAAGGAATGAGTTTGAAGGGTGTGAGAATTAGGGTTATGGGTATGAACCCAGTTGAAGAATTTGAGAGATAGAACGTGGTCGTTTTGGAGTTTTAGGAGGATGTGCTGGATTCTGAATGGGGTTAGGGTTTTTGATAAAGGGTTGAGTTTTTCCCATTGTGAGTGGATTATGTGACTGTGACAAACGTTGATGAAATCTAGGTCTTGTCCTTTTGGTTGGAGGATTGTTCGATGAGGTATAGGTAGGTATGTTTTTTTGGGGAATGTTTGGTTATTGTGGTGGGAATGGATTGATGTTGAAGTTGAAAATTGGTGAAATCGAATGTTTCTTGTCATTGTTTCTGGTATATTAACGTTGAAGCAGTGTGTTTTTGTTCTCCGCTATAAGGAAGAGAATGAGGAAGATGAGTGGAAATTATATTAAATGAAAAGTGATTTTTAGAGAAGTGATATGTTTACTGAAACATGAGAGATTTTTTCATTTTAAATATATGCATTCATAAATTAGTTGCGGCAAATGTAGTATACAAGGATTCTAAGATTTTTGTAAAGGGAACTGTGGATTATGGTGTTCTACTTAACATGAAAATAATACAAACGTTTGGCTACACTAACAGTAACAGAGTGGTGTTGAATATGTTTCCATCTACAAATTTAACACTTTATGCATGTCCGTCTATGAGGACTTAGTTAAGTAAACAGGTGATGTGGATCATGTGGACTTCTGCTGACTTATGTGGGCCCAAATATTCACATGTCTGATCCAATTATACTCACACCCATTGGGATTTTTGGGCCTAATCAGGGGCCCAAATTGAAGAAGATAAAAAAAATGTAAGTTTTGTAGAAATGGAGGATTTTGCAAGCTTTAATGATTTGCTGGATCTCAAGGGCCTACCGGTTGATGGGAACAAGTTCAGTTGGTTTAATTCCAACGGGAAGTGCAAAAGCAGACTTGACAGATTCCTCTTGTTTCATAAATGATAATCAAGGAATGGAGCGTGATGACACAATTTGTAGGCAAACGCGATATTTCGGATCATAGACTGATATGGTTAACAGCTAGCAATACCAACTGGGGCTCAAAATCGTTCAAGGTCTCTTGGTGTTAGTTTGAGCATCCAGGTTTTATGGTCTTTGTGAGAAATGCTTGGAATTCATCCTCTTTTGTTGGTAGCAGTAGCCAAAATATTGTTAAGAAGTTTATGTTTCTTAGGGAGAGGTTAAGGTGGTGGAACACTAATGAGTTCAGTTGGATGGATTTAAAGATAAAAGAAGGTGTGGACACCTTGAATGGGATCGAAGATTCTATGGAATTTATCGGTGGTGATGTATCGGAAGAACAAATGAGGTCGAGAATTGAAGCTCAAGACCAAATTTAGAATAACCTTTTCCTCAAGGAGAGTATGCTGCTGAAGAAATCTAGAATTAATTGGATCAAAGAAGGTGATATTAACTCCAAATTCTTTCACATCATTTTGAAAACTAGAGATATAAGCAATTTCATCTCGTCGGTTAAAGTGGGGGCTGGAAGATCTGAGGATATTCCCACTGTTTTGAAGACAATTAAGAATTTTTCCGAGGAATAATGTGTTGAGACCGTTGTTGGACTTGTCGAATTTGCCGAAACTTTCTGTTACTAATGTGGATATGGTGGAGGAGTCGTTCTTTGCTGAAGAAATATTGGAGGCTGTAACACCCCCTTTCTATACCCCCAAATAATCACATAATCATTTAGGCACATATTCAAAATTTCATCAGAGTATAATTATAATCATGATATAAAAGAGGTGTGTCACATTATACTTGAAATTAAAACATCCAACACCTGCTCAACAATTATTATGCAACAGTTGGGTAACTTTGCAACAGAGGAACTTAGTCCTTACACCCACATCTCAATATTCAGAATAAAAGCGGAAAATCTAAACATTGAATAACATCAAACATATAATCATATATATACCATTCAGTTTGATTCCACAACATAACACATGTTTATCATAAACATTCAACAACCAAATACATATACAAATGTATCACAAAAAAAATCTATACATCCTAGCTACCCGGTGCTACATATCAGAGCCAACCGACTAAAAGAATGAAGACACGCTTCACAAAAAGAACTCCAGTCAACCTACTCTGCAATGCCTCATAGAGCATCATAAAACATCACAAGGGTGAGAAATATTATCATAATAATCAATGCATATATATATATATATATATATATATATATATATATATATATATATATATATATATATATATATATATATATATATATATATATATATATATATATATATATATATATATATATATATATATATATATATATATATATATATATATATAGCATAAAACACACATATATTCAACATTCTCACCACATTCATCACAACTCATTCATATACATCACAATGTATATATATATATATATATATATATATATATATATATATATATATATATATATATATATATATATATATATATATATATATATATATATATATATATATATATATATATATATATATATATATATATATATATATATATATATATATATATATATATATATATATATATATATATATATATATATATATATATATATATATATATATATATATATATATATATATATATATATATATATATATATATATATATATATATATATATATATATATATATATATATATATATATATATATATATATATATATATATATATATATATATATATATATATATATATATATATATATATATATATATATATATATATATATATATATATATATATATATATATATATATATATATATATATATATATATATATATATATATATATATATATATATATATAACACCAAACATATTCATCATGCCTACATTCACAATTCTCATCATTCCACATAAACATACACATTTATGTTTATTCACCAATAACCAATTATTCAGATGATAAATGCAAATCATAGAGACCGACTTCACGACTCTATGCAATGCAATACGGTACCGACTCAATCATCTCAAGTTCACTCAGGAACTTATTGGAACCATCGCTCACACCTCACATAGGCACATGATGTTCACCCATTGCTCACACCCCACATGGGCACACAATGTTTATGGATTGCTCACACCCCACACGGGCACACAATCCGATTGCTCACACCCCACATGAGCACACAATCGTTCAACAGATTCTCCTAGGAATCAAACAGCACAAGAATGCACATCATGATGCTTCACATGCAAAATGACTCCAGACATTCTTGAAATGCATACATATTCACAATATATATTCATGCATTCTTCTTATACCATCACACACGATGTATAAACATTCACACTAATCTCATCATGCATTTACGTTTAATTCAAACAATGCATATATTTGCCCAAAGGCCACCATCACCAATATGTTCAAAATATATATTCACAATATATATTCACAATTCACAATCTAGGATTCGCGCCATACGGCTACCCACAGTATATCATATAACAGCACACAAGCTATGCGTTGAAGAATCAAAGCATCAACATTGGATGAAAGCAACAAAAATAAAACATGCTGTCATAATCGCTGGCCCACTCGCCTAGCGAAGGCATAGCGAACATTCGCTACCAGCTCGCCTAGCGAACACGCTAGCGAAGACTGATATCTGGCTACTAGAAGTGTTCGCTACTCAGCTCGCTTAGCGAAGGCTTAGCGAACACTCGCTACCTCACTCGCTTCCAGCGAGATTGGATCATTTGGTTCTGCCCAAGTCTGGGACCATTCGCTGGCAGCTCGCTAGGTGCTCGCCTAGCGAACCCCTCGCCACCATACTCGCTAGCCACTCGCTTAGCGAACTCTGCGATACTCAAAACCCCAACTGTCCAAAAATCATCAGAAGTTCACAAATCACCCGATTTTAACCAAACCAGTTTCAATAGTCTTAGCCTAACATTCCTCGACTAAACTACACAACTTATTCCAGATTCTAACCGTTAAAACATCGATTTCTATCGATTAAACCATTTCTGACCTAAAATGGAAAATGAGGAAAAACAACCAAACAATCCAAACAACACATACATAATCATACACATTAATAAGATAATAAGATTCCACACCCTTACCCGATTAAATCGAATCCTAGAGGTTGTTCTTGATGATTCTCCAAGTTTTCCTCTCTTTCTCCTCTTTTCTCTTCTTCCTCTTTCTTTCTCTTCCTTTTCTTTTTTCTCTTTCTCTTATATCTCTTTCTATTCTAATTCTTTCTATTCATTTCCTCTCAAAACATCTACTAATTCATTTCTCACAAAATATCTTAACTTAATCACTAATTAAGAAATATCTAAAATACCCTCCGACTTATTTTCCCCGAAAACTCTCAAAATCGGTAGAATAACATAATATGCAAACATAACATATTAACACATCAATTCCACAATTAAAATATTAATCACCCAAATAAATCAAAAGACTCAACAAAAATGAGAAATCAGATTCGGGGCGTTACAGAGGCCATCAATGGGTGTGACGGGAATAAATGCCCTGGCCCCAACAGTTTCAATCTCGAGTTCATTAAGAGGTGTTGGACAATTATAGGTCCGAATATTATAGCGTGCATACAAGACTTCCATCTCAATGTTGCTTTCCCCAAGGCATTGAATTCCTCTTTTATTACTCTTTGTCCTAAGAAGCTGAACCCTCAAAGCTTAGACGAATATCGGCCGATTAGCTTAGTGGGTTGTATTTATAAAATTATATCAAAGATTATGACTTCAAGGTTAGACAATGTTATTATTGGTATAGTTTCCTCTTCACAAACAACATTCATTTTTGGTCGTCAATTACTCGATGGTGTTCTTTTAGCGAACGAACTTATTGAGCTGGCTGTCAGGAGAAAAAGAAAATGTTTGCTCTTCAAAGTAGATTTTTCTCAGACCTACGATTGCTTTGAGTGGGAGTTTATGTTGAGGGTACTGAAGGCCATGATTTTTGGTTCAAAATGGCTACAATGGATTCGGGCGGGCGTGTGCAAAAATTTCCTTTCCGTTTTAGTAAATGGAAGTTGCTCAGAAGATTTCAAATGCTCGAGGGGTCTCAGGAAAGGAGACCCCTTATCCGCATTCTTATATGCTTTGATGGCGAAAGGCTTAGCTATGCTTGTTAAAAGGGCAGTTAGTAGTAACATTTTTGGTGGTTTTGCCTTGTATGGGTTTGATTCCATTTGTGGATGACATAATCCTTGTTTGCGAAGATGATCTGAGAATTCTATGAGGTACCAAGGAAATCCTAAGGGGTTTTGAAATGGTGTCAGG